TTGGTGGTGGATTCCATAGAGCCACTCACATCGCAGACGGCCATAGCACTATTAACTTTCCCACAGTCCCTGATGCGCTGCACCAGCGTCTTCCATTGCATATCCGCGACGGTGCGATCAAGTGATGTATTCTCCTGTCGGCCATCAGCGGACATGACCGTTTTAACGAGTAGACCAGGGGTCAAAACGGCGCCCGAGATTTTAGCTTCACCCATTCCAACCTTTCCTAGGTACTCCATAAAACGCGGACCGTCGTTTTCGTTGAAAAGGTGTTTGTATCGATTCATAGCTAGGGAGGGAACGTGGGAATACTCGATGTTTGAGAAAGTTTTGGCGGATATATCGCGCTCGACTATGGCGAGAGCTTTGCGGAGCGGGGAAAGGGTATTTGCGCGGTATTGTTCACGAGCACGCTTGAGGTAAGTCTCTCGAGATAACTCGTCGCCTGTGGTTTCGGAATGGGAATGAGGGTCGAGAGCGGAATCGGAAAACAGGAGCTCAGCTATTGTGGAGGCGATGAGGGTATATTTGTCGTGAAAGCGTTCTAGAGAGGGGGCCCATTTTGCACAGAGGGAGATTTCGCGGAGTGCTTCTTTGTTCGTTTTGCCGGATTCAAGGAGGATCATATCCTTCCGTAGTTGCTCGGCGAAGAGGCGGGCAACAGTTAAGTGGAGGGCACGGTGAAAGGGGTCCGTGACAAGACGGTTGAGGACGTGTTCATGGCGCTGCGCTTTTGCTGCCTTGGATGCCGCTTTCTGTTCAAATTCGATATCAAAGGGGGATTTTTTTCCCCCCTCTTGGGAAACTTTTGTTCTTCCCCTTCCGTCATGTCTTCTAGCCTGGCCACCCCTTTTGGCCTTCTGTGGCTGACTGCCGTCTGAATTTTTTGGGATTCGATGATCCCTCAAAAGCACTTGATCAGGATCGCTCATATCCAGCTTATCCATCGCCGATAGGACCAAGACATTCAGCAAATCCTTCCAATATCCATGAGAGCTACCATGTGTAACATCATAGTCATCAACCTCCATCCCATCCCCACCCTCCGCCTTCTCAACTTTCCCAACGATAACTTGCTTATCCCCTTCCCTTTCCTTCGCGTCCTTTTTAACAACAGGCCTATAAAGCCACTTCAAATTTAGCAAGAGTGTCCGTGGATGGTGCTGCCCCAACCAACCTAGATGCGTATAAAACATATTTCTCTCCCCCTTCCCTAAATGGATACTGCGGACCGCCCAAATAACCTTGAGTGTCATCAACGCATCGATCTGCCACGCCTGTTTGAGTGTTTCCGCCAGTGATCCTTTACCCGTACAATCGCTCTCCCCGCCGCCAACGTGATTAAACAGTTCTAGTAAAGGGGATTGTGTTGACGCATACGCCATCCCCGAGTTTGTCGTTAACATACGGTTTTGCCGCGCCATTTCGTTCTTGTGGGCCTTTTCGCTATCGGGGTCTGTTGCTGCGCGGTCAAGGGCATCGACGAAGGCGTTGCCAGTCGTCTTTTGCTCTGTGATTCCCGCACTCGCCCTGTCGGAGTCGCCGCCTGCATTGATATGCATGGCGCCCACGGCATTCTCCACACCTACGAGAGCGGGAAGAGCCTTCAAGACATGTATCTCAAACTCAGTGTCGGACATGCGCAGGCATGGGTCTTCTGGAAGAAGGACTGGAAAACTGGAGTCCATTGAACTGGTTTTCACTTTCTTTGCCGGCGGTGGTACTTGATGTGGAGCAATTTCAGCTCCTGGCTGCTTCTCCACGTAGTTAGAGGGGTTTTCCATTGTCGATAATGATCCTTGGTTACTGATATATATTTCGAATTTTCGCTGGGTATATTTTGTTTGCGAGATACGATAAGTCAAATAGAGTTATCGACCCTTTATTTATCTGTTTATATGACTTCCCTAGAGATATGGATATCAAATAATCCGCACAAGCACAAAATTTTGGATATTTTGGGCTTAGGTAGTAATTTCGCTGCAGACGGTGGAGCACGGGGTGCAGGAAACTATCGCGATCCCTGGAAACAGCACAAATGCAGTAAACTTCGGATCAGATCTTAACGGCGTACGTGAAAGGAAAATCCGGAAGCCAGATTAGCTCCACATGCTACAATCAGAAAGAGAGGAGAGAGGGAGGCCGCGAATTACTGACCACCACGTCCCTTTTAAAGGTCGACAATGGACTAATAGCAAGGCCATTTAAGAATTCCTACCCCTCCATTTCTACCCAATGTCCCATTGGCTTTTCATGAGTCACTGGTATGAACTCAAGTGCCCCGCCAAAGCCAAGCGTGGCGCTCCAGTTTTGAGTTAATAAGGTCTGGGCGTTGCTGAAATCGCAGGGTTTTTGAATGATTGCGGCGCTTTCATTATTTGGGCTACCGTTGAGTTCCTTGCCAGTCGTTGCAGCCAATTGCCCAGCCACAAAGTCTGTGTCCTGGAAGCGAAGAAATGTGCGAACACAAGTAACAGCTGGAAAGAGACATGTGACGAGCAAAACGTTTGTTAGTACCTACAGAATAAAGGAATTGTATGCAACCAAACAAAGGCAGTAGACATACATAAAAAGTAAGGGGCAATTCAACCCCCTTCCACACCTAATCTGAGAAAAAAAAAAACACGCAAATTTATTCGAAAAAGAGTCATCAATTCCTTTCAAAGTCAGGGATTTTTGGAAAATAGAGCAAGCAGGTCGGAGTTAGTTCGTTTTCTCCTTCACAGAGACATCTGGATATATACACATGTCACAGGGCCCTTATCAAATAAATCAGGGCCTTGTAGGCGTGGATGTTGGCGTGACCTCAAGAGCCAAACGTATAACGTTCCGTATGTGAGATACGATATCAGAAGATTTCCCCCAGTACCAGTCGAGGCCTGTACCAATCCTCGAATACTGGTTCGAGTATTAGCTAGCTGGAATGGCTTTGGCCAAGAGCAGATCTCAAGTCCTCACTCACCTTGGAATCGTTATCAATTCGGAGGAAGTAGAACTCGACGCCATCACTGCATACTCCATAAACGGTGGCATTCTTCCTTCCGTCCTCTTTCCGTCTCGAATGTACGATACCTGCTCCCAAGGAAATCCGCGAACATCGTTAGCAAACCCAATTCTAATTAATTATTATGCGTCTCGGATAAGAACAAGACATTTTATGCAAGTTACTAGTCAGAGAGACTCAAGCATACTCATAAGTGCCAAACATCTCCCTTCCCCCTGGCGGGCCGTGGTCTCCCCGCTCACAGCCACCACTACCATATTTGTTGACATCTCCTCTACGGACCCATACCGGAGTGCGAAATCTGCTGTACCATAGAGTAAGCGTGCGCGCCTATTATACTCCACCTCATTGGAAAATGCCGTCTCCACACCCAAGCGCAGAATCTCCCGTCCTATGGAGTAACAGGAAGAAGGCAGTGTTGGCGATGTTTGTCCAGGAAGTATTTCAAAGTCAGGAGCGACGATAGACGCATGTGCCGCGACGGCATTACGATATCGTTCCTCTGCTGCGAGACAATGAAAGAGAATGAGGTTCAGACGACAGCGGACTAGTCCTTCACTTCTGCGGCCGGAGCTGATGTGATCAAGATCGGATAGGAGGGTGCCTATTCCCGATTAATTAGTGGTTGAGATTGACAGCGGACCCTACATGTCCGGAACTCTTGGGAAAGGAACAAATGGTAGTACATAAAGACACTTTCTCAGTTCTATATACAGTATATATACGAGGTAGTGGGAGGGACATGTAATTGAGGGAGCTGCTTACCCAAGCAATGCGGTACCGTACAGATATCCACAGACGGCAAATCCCAAATTCTCGGATCCTATCACAATCTAATTTAAAAATCGCTATCACATCTTCTGGTCTCATTTCGTCTGCAGGGAGCTAGAGGAAGAAAGTAAATACAGAATACCTCAATTAGCGCCAACGCCAACGCCAGCTGCTGTCCTATTTCATGAACAGGACACCACGATCATCATTGCATCACGAAGTCAGCGAGAGAGAGGCACGTACTATATCCTGCATCACCTGATTAATAATTTCGATACGTGTGAGGAGCAAATTGCGAAAAGTCTGGGGGGAGCAGTGGGGATAATTTATCCCTAAGCCAGCACACGAAGTCCATGCAGTGCCGGGTGACTAAGGGATGCATATGTGCTTTGTTTTGTGAGTGGTTTTAAAGCACACGCTGACAAGGTGAGTTAGAATGTAACAAAAAATATAAAAAGGAAATGTAGGTGGGAAGGGTAGAAGTATATTCGAATCTTGAAACTATGAAAGATGCCAAATAAAGATTTATGGAGACAAAGCAGATTATAGTTGGCATTAGAGATTGAATGAGGAAGGATAGCGGGACGAATGCCATTTCGCACCTTCCGCCGGTCCTCTGTATGGACATAGAGAGTCGACGGAAGGCACAAGGCCAACTTTTAAATTTGAATATTCTGGAAAGGAGGTGGGGTCGATGTCCTTCTGCGAGGAGAATATATAAAATCTCAAGCATGGAAATATGCCTAGATCATGTAGAGACATGATTGATTTTCATTGTCTCCAGAGCATCAAACATGTTGGTTTAATTGGGAGGCCGCGATATGGTATAACGTAGAGATACATGTCCTGTTTGACCATTTGTCGGACGATTTCGCAAGTAGGTAGTAGTTTTGAGACGCTCTTTGATATTGAGACCTGGCTACACTAGGCAGTTTTTGCTATATATAAAGCTAGATGGCACTGGCATACAGACCATTCCAAATAATCTCGCCGGCCCCCACACCAGGGGCGTTAATGAACTACCATGGCTTGACCTCTCCGGGACTTGGTGGCTCTATACGGACAACTTTATCGGCATTCAAAAGTGATAGCGGGTCGAAAGCTTGTTTCAACTGAACCGGGATAAGAAAAAATTATTAGCAAGTGTGTGTAGATCATGGCCTAGATAGCCTTTTTGGTTTCATTTCTACAAATTATAGGATGTATGGGAACAAAGAAAGAGAAAAGGAAGAGAGAAACAAATAAACAAGAGAGGAGACTCACCCTTCGCATTGCGTCCACTGTCGATTCACCAAGTTCATGTGGAAGATAGTCACGTTTAATGAGACCTACACCATGCTCGCCAGTCACGGTTCCTTCCATTTCCACGGCCCTCTTGACCATGCGATGAATGACACCTTCAACAGTTTCACGCTCCGCTTTGTTATACAGAAGAATAGCTATCACACATATAATTAGCATTAAATACGCAAGCTGCAGAAGAAGAGGGAAAAGGGGGGCAGTAATTTTGAGGTATTATGCATAGATATTATCTCACCATGGAAATTCCCATCCCCAACATGGCCGCAAATACCCGCGAGCAAACCATGCTTTACGATATCCTCCTTAGTCTGCTCGATGATATCTGGAAGCTGGCTGATGGGGACAGCAACATCAGTCGTCCACACGCGATCGTCAGGGTTCCGTTTCATTGCCATGATGCTCCACAGAGCCTCCTTTCTTGCACTCCAGAGCTCTAACTTCTCCTCCTCATTTCGAGCGAATTCGAATGATTGGCTTTTCGTTGAGACAGCAAGGTCCCTCACGAGGGAGATTTGCTCTTTGATGCCCAGGGGTGTACCGGTGAATTTAAGAAATAGTGTAGGTGATTCTTTCCATGTCCGACTTGTAGATTGGCTAGCGTTGATGCATTTCATCTGAACATCATCCAGAATTTCAATGCCTGCAAGGGGGATTCCTTCTGCTACGATCTTGGCTACACATTGAGCTGCATTGTGGATAGTCGGAAAGGAAGCAACAGCGACGCTTTCACTTTTGGGTTTGACTGTCACTTTTAAAGTTGCCTCCGTGATCAGGCCTAGGGTACCTTCGCTGCCAATGAAGAGTTTCGTCAGGTCATATCCAGCACTTGATTTGCGCGGGCGTTGTCTGGTCTTGATTATAGTTCCATCGGCGAGAACGACTGTTAGCGAGACAACCCATTCTCGCATTGTTCCATAACGATACGCGTTGGTTCCCGAACAGCAAGTGCCAATCATCCCGCCAATCTCCGCTCCGGGGCCAGGATCTGGAGGGAAGAAGAGACCCAGTTTAGCCAATTCTTCATTCAGGTCCTCCCAACCCACTGCTGGCTGAACCACCACGTCCAAGTCATCCTTGTGCAAAGCGAGTATCTTGCCCATACGCTGGAAATCAACGCAGATACCCCCTCGCGTAGATGTAACATGCCCTTCCAAACTAGTTCCACCGGAATATGGCGTTACCGGAATAAGTCGTTCGTGACAGATTTTCATGATCCGAGAAACTTCTTCGGTTGTCGAGGGGTATACGATCAAAAATGGCTTTTCATTTTCCTTGTGAGCGTAGGATGACCACTTTGAGCCAGCATGGGCGTCGACATCGTGGTTCGCGGTGGAAACGTTCTCCTTACCGACGATCTCTACGAGGTCTGCCCATGCGGCCTGGAGGTTTGAGGGAGAGGTGTCATGTCGCGGAGGGCGGATAGCAGCCAGGGGACTCGTGGAGGTGGTGGGAATACTGGCGGGTTTTAGAGATCCAAGATAGTAGCAGCCCAACGATGCGGATATAAGCACTGCGAAAGTCATTTGTCAATCGACCCTAGAAACACTCCGATGTAAAGAGATTAGCCGTGCAAACAGATCCACGTACCCACTGTCATTGCAAAAGCACGAATGCCTGGAGTTGTGTCGTGTTGAGCTCTAGCATATCGAGCTTGCTCTGCCCGCTCTCTGATCAATCGCTGTTGTGTGCTCTCATATAGCTGGCCCTTGAACGACGGCCTGTCCTCTCCACACCGCGAAGTGGTCCCAAATCGTCTTGTCGGTTGTCGAAAGCATCGTGCGAGGGTAGGCTGTGCGGCGGAGATGGACGTTTGTTTTGTATGGTGAACAGCCCGCCGAGCTATCGAAGTTGCGGATTGGGTACGGAACATGGTGACAAAATAAAAAATGTCACGATGACATTAAAAGGCAAGCCAGAGAATATAATATTGTATTTCAGGCCTGTTCCAATCCAGCCAGTCAGCCAGCCAGTAATTGAGGCGATAGCTTGCGCCCAATGTAAGATGATACCTTTATTGGCCTAATCCGCGATTTAGCTTGGTTGACCCGCCTACGAACCGACTGACATCAATACTAGTATGATATGCGACAGGTAGCATCCAGCATATTTGGCCCGCCACGGGAAATTGTTACCCTTGGCCTTTAAGTTGCGGATGCAGATACACAGTAAACATGCTGTTTCGACATATATACTAACATTGGGAATCCACCTTGAGAATTTGATCATTTCGGCGCAGTTCCATGCTATGTAGCTTCGGAGTAATGCTACCTGACCAGCTTGCGGAAAGCTTAACAACCTCTGCCAGGTGTTAGTTACACCCCACACCTTGCTCCTGGACTCCCGGATGCACTTACGAACGGAAACTCAGTGCTGCATCTTCACAGAGCAAAACATAGCGTGATGAACGATCCGTTGCATCATCTATTTCAACAAAACCCCTACGCAGATCAATAGCTGCGTGTCCCATCCCCTTGCGGGGTATTTGAATCCTGTGCTCGCCGTGTTGCATAGAATGCGGATTGTCAGACTTGCCCCGCGTTGCGCTCAGGTTGAGGTAGGCTTCTTGAGCTTCTTGAGCACACACACGATATATCTATATTCCGCATCTTGCTTCCAATTGGCTTCTTGAGAGCTAGAAAATACCCAAGGGTAAATCCCAACCACTAGATACGAGAATATCTATAACACATCTTCATAGCGTCGAGCCAGAATGGCCGAATGCCGCGTTATCCCTCTCAACAAGGGCTGGGTTTTCAGGCAGGCAGACGATGAAAAAGCAGAGTTTTTGCCCGTTTCCCAATTCCCAACTAACGTCCATCTGGACCTGATGCACCATGGACTCATCGCAGACCCTTTCCTTGGCAAGAATGAATTCGATGTACAATGGGTTGGAGAGAAAGCCTGGGTATATACTACCTCCTTCGATACTCCGACGCTCAAAGGAGGGGAAAAGGCAGTTCTGGCATTCGGCGGTCTCGATACACATGCGACAGTGCGCCTGAATGCCACGAAAATCCTCGAAACGGAAAACATGTTCATACCTGAGCGCATTGACGTTACGGAACTGCTTCGAGAATCGAATGGCCCAAATGTGTTAAACGTCACGTTTGAGAGCACGTTTCTACTCGGAAAAAAGATCAAAGAGCAGTATCCAAACCATTACTGGGCCTGTTGGAATGGAGACTCCAGCCGCCTTGCCGTGCGGAAGGCGCAGTACCATTATGTATGGTTACTATATCTCTCCCGACTTGCAATTTCTATGACTGACTTATTTATCTTTATGTAGGGCTGGGACTGGGGCCCGACTCTCATGACCTGCGGACCCTGGCGCCCTGTTGATCTCGAAATATACAGTGCTCGCATTTCAGATCTCCATTTCCGACAAAATGTGGAAAAATCTCTGAAACAGGCAGAATTAGTCGTCACTGCAGAGGTAGAAGGTGACGCAGAGAGCGTGTCATTTCACATCGAATTAGATGGCGAAGAGAAAGGTTCAGAGACAGTCGATATCAAGGATGGTGTCGCAACTATGACCTTCCATGTTCAAGACCCCCAGCTATGGTACCCATGGAGATATGGCAACCAACCCCTCTACACGCTGTGTGCGACCATATCATCGAATGGAGTAAAACTCCATTCCACAAGCAAACGCGTAGGCCTTAGGAGAGCAGAGCTTATCCAAAGAAGGATGGACAATACCGATGGCACTTCTTTCTTTTTTGAGATTAACAATATCCCCATTTTCTGTGGAGGGAGTAACTGGATTCCTGCGGATAACTTCATTCCCCGTATTTCGCGCCAAAAGTACTACGACTGGGTAAAGCTGATGGTTGACGGCAATCAGGTGATGGTGAGAGTCTGGGGGGGTGGTATATTTGAGGAACAAGCCTTTTACGACGCCTGCGACGAGCTGGGTCTATTGGTCTGGCAGGACTTTCTTTTCGGATGTGGAAACTATCCAGCGTTCCCTAACTTCCTAGAAAATGTGAAGCGTGAGGCGATTGCAAATGTCAAGATTCTCAGACATCATCCGTCAATTGTGATACTGGCCGGAAACAATGAAGACTACCAGTTCGCAGAGAGCGAGAAGTTAAAATGGGACCCCAACGATAATGACCCTATCAGCTGGCTGAAATCCGAGTTTCCAGCACGATATATTTACGAAAAGATCTTGGTTGACGTGACGAAAGATTTGATACCAGATACGTACTATCATTACGGCTCACCCTGGGGTGGGAAGAATACAGCTGACCCTACGATCGGAGATATCCACCAGTGGAATGGTATGTATATCAATATCCATCTAGCAATCTAATAAATTAATCTAATACTAATAATTTTATCGTATATGTAGTTTGGCACGGCAGTCAAGAGAAATATCAAGATTTTGATAATCTCTGCGGCCGATTCATCTCTGAATTTGGCATGCAGGGCTTTCCCGACATGAGAACCATCGATGGCTACCTAACTGGCGGTATATCGGACCCTGAAAGACACCCCCAATCGTCCACCGTCGATTGGCACAACAAAGCCGCAGGCCACGAGCGCCGCCTTGCAACCTACCTAGCCGAAAACATCAAGTACAACCATGAGCCCTTCGAACAGTATGTCTACGCTACACAGCTCATCCAAGCGGAATGCCTCTCTACTGCCTACAGGCTCTGGAAACGCCAATGGAACGGACCGGGCCGTGAATACTGCGCCGGTGCTTTGGTCTGGCAAATGAACGACTGCTGGCCCGTTACATCTTGGGCCATTGTCGATTACCACCTGCGTCCTAAACCTGCGTACTACTCCGTGAAGCGCGAACTAGCTCCTATCACGATAAGCTTGAAGAGGACATCCCACACAGAATACGTGGACAAGTACACCAACGTTTATTACAAGACAACGCACAAAGTCGAGGTGTGGGCTACGAATCTCACGGCTAAACCAAGAAATGTAAATGTGGTAGTTAAGACCTGGGATTTGATCACAGGCGCCGAAACTTCCTCAGAAGTACTGAAAAGCGGTTTCCTTCTGAAGGAGAATAGGAGTACGGAGATTACTGAGTTCAAAATACCTGTCAAGGGCAAAAAAGGAGAGACCAAGGATGGAGAGGAGATAAACCGTACCGTTGTTGCGGCATACCTGATCGAAAACGGCATGCAAGTAGCGCGCTACGTCAATTGGCCGGAGCCGCTCAGGTATGCTGCCTTGCAGGTCCCGAAGAAATTGCAAGTGATGGTTTCCGAGGATGGGAAGCAGGTGGAGTTGTCAACGGACTTGCCGGTGAAGGGTGTTGTGATTAGCACTGACGAAGACATCGTGGTATTTGAAGATAATTGTGTGGATTTAGTTCCTGGGGAAACAGTTTATCTTGGAGTTAAGGGGCTGGAGAAAGGCCAGGAGGATAAGATTTCTGTGAGGTATTTGGGATCGCTGTGAGAGCACCAAGGGTTTGTTTTCATTTGTAGGCTCTTGTGTGTGTGTGTGTTTTTTTTTTTTTTTTTTTTAAATAAACTGTTGCTCAGTTGTTTTGCCGTCTTTAGATGCCTTGTTTCAGATAAACATAGTTTTGTACTTTTGTTGCCCAAGCTTTTTCCAACAGCAAATGAAGTCGTGATTTTCCTCAACCACGGTGGAGTCAAACCCTATTCCCGGCAGCTACGGACAGATAAAGGTCTAACCGGGCCCTAGATGATTTGTAAGCTGCCGCTCACCTGCAACCTCTGGTCGGCCCCTCGTTCCGAGGGTCCGCCATCTCAACGTTACTGCCCACTTATACCCATGATATTCAGTTGATTTATCAACCAATGAATCTATATTTGATAGATACAAATAGATTATATTGTAAATGAACTATTGCCCGTGAATTCCTTGTAAATTTGGTGGCATTAACATAAATGCCTTTGTCTCTGCAATATCTCTTAAGTTCCTTCATAACCTTCTTCCATTTTGGCCGTAACTTCTCCAATGCCTCCTCAATACCAATCTGATGATGAATAGCTGTCATTTTGCGAATATTATCTGCAGAGATGACTCCTCCTTTATGAACTACCCTCCGTGAGCCGTTCAGACGGCGTTTGCGAGCAGCCGAGGCGGCAGTTGTCTGCGAGAGCTCCTCCTGCAAAAGAGCCACTGTATTGGCCATTGCAATACTACCCTTATAAAGCTTCTGTAATCCTTCATATATATAGTCCTCATCATAGTTATCTTCATCTTCCTCTTCCAAAGCCTCGAGTTTGCGTTTATATCGGTTGAATTGGCGTACAGTTGAAGGAGTATACCAAGTATCTGAATCCATGGAATCTGAATTTGAAGATTCTGAAGGAGTAGTCTCGAATTCACGCAATTTATTAAGGACAATTGAAGGATTGAATGGAAGTAGGCCAGTTGCTTCCCATCCATGTTTGATTGTATGAACTCTGAATGTTGCTTTTCGTATGGAGGTGATAGCATGAAGAAATTCAACCTTTGTGAACTTCTCACAGCCGCGTCTTGTTGCTTCTTCAACTGCCACTGAATGATGATGCTTAAAGGCTTGAAAAACACCAACATCCAGAGGTTGTAATAGGTGACTCGTATGCGGGATGAGATAGAAGGGAATGATGTTGTTCTTTTCACAAAAATCCATGAATTCAAAGGTGCAATGGGAGTCAAATCCATCTAATAGAAGCAGACGGTGGGTTCCTTTGGTGCGAGCTTTTGTAGACCGATGGAAATGCTGAATCCACTGAAAAGAGATTTGATCATTATTATACCCAGTGTCGGATGTAGCTGTCATGGCATCCTTCTCTATTTCATCTGTCCACCGCTCCTGTAGCTGCTTCGCGGTGAGAATATATAAGGGAGGAATGGTAAAGCCATCAGTTGCAACTCCTTCAATGATAGTAAGACTTTCTCTATTATTTGAACTTCCAACATAGGCCCGTCTTCGAGGATCTCGCGTTACAATCCATTGATCATGTCCAATTCCTATTCTGAACCCTGTTTCATCGAAGTTGTAGATATCGCAATCTTGAATTCCATATTTATTGACTGTTTCTTTGAACCGGTTAAACCAATCAAGGATATGAGATGGTGGATGAGCCTGTTTCCGTAATATATCAATGGTCTTCTGCTTGCGTACATTATACTCTGGATGGCGTTTGAGAAATCTTTTGACCCAGTGCTCTCCAAGCCCAGGTGCAGGTGTGGTAGAATCTGTATGGCTCTGCGCAAGTAGGAATCGAGCAGCACCAAAGATCATCGATCGATTGGGAGGTAGGCATAGCTTATCTAGAGCTTCTATATACTGACAAAGTGATTTTTCCTGCTCAAAAGATAAAAGTCGATTAGCAGGAGGTCGATGAGTTCGCGGAGCACGGCCATTGTATCGATTGAGCAGACGGGAATAGGGAAGGTTATAATCTCTTGTCAATGCTTTGATATTGGGTTTTTCAATATCGGCTATGGAATCTAGAGCCTCTGTGATCTTATTCTCTATTAAAATATATGTAGAAGTCATCACATTGGTTGATTATTGCATTTTGAAAAAAGAGATTCGCGTATTTGAAAATAATCGCGTTGAGATGGCGGACCCTCGGAACGAGGGGCCGACCAGAGGTTGCAGGTGAGCGGCAGCTTACAAATCATCTAGGGCCCGGTTAGATGCCTCAATCGATCTTGTTCATCTTAGCCATATGCCAGGTGGTAATGTGCTGTTGAGAAAGGCGCCAACCCGCTGCATCATAGATGGAGCTTCCCCCGCCCCCGAAAGCCTGGCATCTTTCCCGCACACATTTTCATTTATTGCACGTACCATCCATATCATCGATTTGATGATTTCCCGCAGTGTATCAAATATTGTTCTGGTTCGCCAGTATAAGCGAATAAACACTTTTGCAAACGGAACACCATGGCTAATGACGCGCCTAAGGTAGGTTCTCTGTTGCTCTTGTGCGGGTGGATTCAATTAAGTTGCTTTTTAGGCTGTATTGCTCCATGTTGCGTTATAAGAATGTTTGCACTATTTTACTAAGACATAAAGCGGCAGGCTAATCGGAAACATATTGCGGAGTGCAGAACCTCTCCTTCATTCTGGAGGGTATAAAGAAAGTCTCCTACCAAGATAGGCCCGTCCCAGCCATCAAAGAACCCCACGACGTGCTGGTGCAGGTCAAATTCACTGGTGTCTGCGGCAGCGACGTACGTCCAAAGTCCTCAAGATCTCCTTCCACTCGAGGACCGTCCAAACAAAATGAAACACCACCACCTAACCACGTCACACACAGGTCCATTATTGGGAGCATGGCTCCATCGGGCCCTTCACCTTAACTTCGCCAATGGTCCTAGGCCATGAATCTAGCGGGATAGTCACCTCCGTCGGTCCAGCCGTCACAAGTCTACGGCGCGGTGACAATGTTGCCCTCGAACCGGGCGTCCCTTGCCGACGCTGCGAACCCTGTCTCAGCGGCAAATACAATCTGTGCCTCAACATGGCCTTCGCCGCCACGCCGCCCATCGACGGCACGCTGGCCAAGTACTACGTTCTACCCGAAGACTTCTGCCATAAACTACCCGCGAACGTCGGGCTTGAGGAAGGTGCGTTGATGGAGCCACTCAGCGTAGCGGTGCATATTGTGAAACAGGGGCGTGTGCAGCCGGGCCACTCTGTGGTGATATTTGGTGTGGGCCCGGTGGGCCTGCTGTGCTGTGCGGTTGCGAGAGCGTTTGGGGCGTCGAAGGTCATTGCAGTTGATATTCAGCCTGCCCGGTTGGAGTTTGCAGCACGGTATGCTGCTACCGGGCATTTATGAGCCGGTTCAAGCGAAGG